ACTGGTATATAAGGGCTCTTGCCCCTCCCTCACGATTTAGAAAGCCGGGTGTTTGTGTCCGTCGAGCACCTCAGACAATAATATTTATCTTCGAAATATATTATTCGTTTGTTTATTTAATTTCATATTCGAAACTGGAATAGACCTTGTGCGGTCGTTTAAAATTCGTCTTGAGAATCAAAACCCATCGAGCCTCGATGAGAAAGGATTTCTACAGGCTTCTAGACCGGATCCCTCAAGTAACGTTAGACCTTCCCTACATCCATCTCTACACGACGGATTTCGACCTCAACATTGGAATAACCCTCAAGAAATACTCTCCTTTGGGATTATAGAATGCTTCTATCAAAATTAAACACATTTGCTCACATTTCCACCGTGGACATGCCGGCGAAAATCCAGCTTCAAGGTTAGAGGACGGTTATTCCCGCGCGCGTGTGTTTGTTTGTGTGTGTGTGTTGTGGTCTTGGGCTCGTTTACTTCAGCAGACTTGAGTGTTGGGAATAGCGTGCCTCAGATTTCCATTATGATACAAGTTTACGTCTTTTATCAATTCTAATGAAGCTATCACATCTTTTATCGACAGTTAAGGAGAAAGAGCCGTTCGAGAAGGTGTATCAGGTCGGCTCTGTGCTGGGAAGCGGCGGTTTTGGGACGGTGTATGCGGGTTTGAGGATCGCCGATGGCGCGCCGGTAGGTTCCTGAATAGAGTAACGTTATTGTTGTTTACACACGTGTGAACGTTTCGCATGTTCATAACGTGTGTGTATGACATATATAAATATAATGCCATTCACTGCTTAATAATGCATTCATTTACAATTTTTAGGTTGCCATCAAGCATGTGGCCAAAGATCGTGTTACTGAATGGGGAGAGCTGGTGAGTACTTGATTTAAAAGGATTGTATTCATATTATTTGTATCTGAAATATCGCACATAAATAATAAATGACAGCGTCACTAAAACGAACATGTCCTCCGTTTCCAGCCCAATGGCTCGCGCGTCCCGATGGAGATCGTCCTGTTAAAGAAGGTCGGCACCGGATTCCGTGGCGTGATCAAGATGCTGGACTGGTACGAGCGACCGGACAGCTTCATTATCGTCATGGAAAGACCGGAGACCGTCAAGGACTTGTTTGATTTCATCACGGAGAAGGGCGCGTTACCGGAGGAGCTCGCCAGGAACTTTTTCCGCCAGGTCCTGGAAGCGGTGCGTCATTGCCACAACAACGGCGTCGTTCACCGTGACATCAAGGACGAGAATATTCTCATCGATCTACGGACCGGCGATCTGAAGCTCATCGACTTTGGATCGGGGGCATTACTCAAAGACACCGTCTACACCGATTTCGACGGTAAGAGCCACTTGCATGACCTTCAAGCCAGGGTTCCCACGGTCACGGAAAACGTGGCGGGAGCGGGGGGAATTAAAATACGTGCTTATCTGGCCTCTTGGAAATTTGTGTCGTGGATCTAAATGTTTATTAAAAAAAATAAATCCGTAAACATTAGTACGACTTTGTGAGGGGGAACGTTTATAAACCAACCAAGATTATAGGCTAGAAATTGCTTAATGTATTTTTAAATACGTTTAGAGGTTGAAATTCGATGGTTGTAAGGTTTGGAAATCCTGTCAAGCTCTACGAAGGGTGTGTGTTTATATATTGAGGCGATGCTTTTACGTTTTAAAACGAGTGTATCAAACATATCTAGCATTAATCACTTGATAGATGTATTATGACCCCCTTTCATCGTTGACTAGCCATTAATAAATCGCTCGGCGTGAGGATTTGTTTATTTTTGTATTATGTTGCTTTGGGGAAAAGGCATTTCGCTCGGTTGTGGATTTGGCGCCCCCGCTGGTGGGAAATGGAATTATTACAACTCAAAGTTTGTAAACACAAGTCACATGGCAACCAGTTTCTCCACATGAGAGCGCCTGCCGTCACGCTCCCGAACACATGACTGTGCACATTAATGCTGCACCTTAACAATAGTGTTCAAACACGACACACCTTTTTCCTGCCGCACCTTTTACTACAGTGTTTGGTAGTATCAGGTACTAAAATAAAGACTTGTATGCAGTTTTTTTTGCATTTGTTGGGTTTCAGTGTTTCAGAATCATGGATTTTAAATGCATTTTTCTGTTTTCTGTGCTCTCTTCAGGTACACGTGTTTACAGTCCACCAGAGTGGATCAAATTTCACCGCTACCACGGTAGATCCGCGACCGTGTGGTCTCTGGGCATCCTGCTGTATGACATGGTGTGTGGGGACATCCCGTTCGAGCAGGACGAAGAGATTGTACGCGGACAGGTGCTGTTCAGGCGGAGAATCTCCACGGGTAAGACTCACAGATCACATGACGCCACCTTCTAGGAGGTTTATGCGTTTATTGCAGGGCTATAATCGCACATCCTGTTGTTTTACAGAGTGCCAGCAGCTTATCAAGTGGTGCCTGGCCCTCCGCCCCGCGGAACGCCCGTCTTTCGAGGACATCATCAACCACCCTTGGATGCAGAACACAGCGCCCCCTACAGACAACACTGAGATTAGACTGCACAGCATCAGCCCGCTGCTTTCCCAGCAGTCACTGTGTGCAAATGACTCTATCTGAATGCATACTGTAGAGACTTTCCATTACAGCAGCAAACCACCCAGGGGACCTGCGGACTGAGCAGTGCAAAAAAAAAAACACACAAAAAAAACACATGTTGTTCTTTTGTTTTGAGCATTGCTGCTAGGCGGGAGTTCTAGGCTAGGCCAAAAAAGGGAGAGGTCCACCTTTTAGTGAGATCTGTTTTCTCTCGTCTCCTGCACCCCTGTGGCTCAGGGTCCCATAAGTCTGGCTCGTAGTAACCAAATGACTGTCAACACTGCTGTCGGACACTGGTAGATTGAGAAGCCCATCTCAGCCAGTGTAGGGAGGAGCTCGTGGACACCCGATGCAGCGGCCACAAGGAGTCGTGCTGCGATGAGGGCCGATCTGCGGCTTTGGTGCACCGTCAGGGCTGTTCCTTTAGGAAGCAGATCAGCCGAGCTTAATCATTTTAGTGCCTTCTGTGCAAGATCAAGGGTTTGTTTTGTTTAGTTTTTTTGGAAATACTTGAAATGAGTAATAGCCACTGTAACACTCTACTCCTTAACCAGATGTCTTTTTTTTTTACCTTCTTGCTTCCACTTTACCTGCTCCTGGCAGGTAACTGTCGGTCTTACTCTAATACGTCAGAGAGAGTAACCAAATCGACCTCACAAACCTCTGCAGAATGAAAAGTCTTACCTCACTCTTTCAAACCGCTGTTTCTTTTTCCTCTTCCTTTGTACTGAGTAACCCTCAACAACTATCACTCATTGTCACAGATGCACAAAGCAATGCAACTATGACGTAAAAGACTACATTTTTTGCATATTATTTTTGTTTATATTGTAAATAGCTCGGTCAGATAACTCAATTCCATGATGAGGCTTATGTGTAAATTATTTATTGGAGTGTCTTAAAACAAAAAAAAGCCCGAGATGGAAGTGGAAGTATTTATTTATTTATTTATAGAGAAGCAATTTTCTGCAAAATTTTTCTCATTCCACCACCGAAGGGCCCACAAATTATTTAAATGTATTTTTACCATATTTAAAGCCTTTTTTTGAGAACGATATGTACATATGTTGTAAATAATCTTCGAAGCACTTCTGTTTCTCGATGCATGGAGCACTGCTGATGGTAAACCATACCAGTCTGAAGTCGTGTTTGTCACCTAATTTAAACGGTCTGCTGTGCATATGTTGGAGGATATGACCTCATGAATGTTTGAGGAACGAGTGATTTTACATGGTTTCTTTTTCACCTTTAGTAGGCATGATTGCAACTCGGATTTTGTTTTTCTGATTTAGCAATGGAAATTATGTTTAGAAAGCTATTTTTTTACACAATTGTCAATAAATATTTTTTTAACATTCATTCTGGTTTCCTGGGTATGATTTGCTTTGTTTGGCTCACTACAGTAATATCAGTCAGTGGTCTTTAAACAGACAATCAGCAGATGTCATTTGAGAAGTAGAGATGGACAGATTGCAGTGGTATTAGCTGTAAATCCATTTAACTAACTTTAATA